AGTTTTATTTCAATTGCAATATAATCACTTGCTCACACTAACCTGCTGATTTCCTTTGACAGTTTTCTAATTTCACTTTGCTGTGTGTGCAGGATTCTTGGCAAATGTCTCTGAGAAACAACTGCTGTTGAACTATGTGAGTGTATTAGGTATTGTGTGTAGAGTCAAGAGAAGTTTCCAGACTGTCAGGATTGTGGTTTGAGGAGTGGTTTTGTTCCTCACCTCTACAAGCATGTAACTGAAGTTCCTAGCCTACCTTTCATGTTTCTCCTCCCAAAGATCAACAGTGTGCTTACACATACCTAGAAAATCTCCTCCTCAAGCCTAGATGAGTCCACCTTCTGTTCAGCTGTAAGTTTTGCTCACAAAAGTATCAAACATGTTTCTTCTGTAAATTAGCCTAGGAAACTTCCAGGCTAAAATTACTGCCAGGCTGACCTAAGAAAGTGAAAGGACTCTTGTGGCAATAAGAGCTAATCACAGAGCAATAGAGCAGTCTGTTCAGTAGTATTTTAATTAGGAGGGTAATTAGTGCTCATGTTGTCCTTCTAAGCCAAATCACCACCATCAGCCATTAGGAGTTGAACGTTTTATACAAAGTTTCTGGGAGTTAAAATAGTTTCCAGAGGCTTGGTACAGTAGCAATTTCCCCTCACCTGCTTGGGTTTGTTGGGTTTTTGTTTTATGACTTGGTTTGACCTGTGGTACTTTCTGTTTGTTAGACAACATTGTGCAAGAAAAAAATATTGTAGAATAGAATGGTGATTAAGACTGTAGACAAAACCATGCATATGAGGAATTAACTATTTTTGGTTTTAGTATTTATACTAAAATTCCAAATTTCTCATGGCCCTCCTCATTCCCAAATGTTGGAGCAGAATCAAACTGAAGTATTTTGATCTGAGAGGCAGCACACAGCTTTGTTGTCCTGTATCGTGGTCTTGTTTCTCATAAAGGAGGGAAAAAAGTCTTAGAAAGAGAGAAAGAATTTCTATAGCTCTGCTTGTGTTTCTGTAGGACAGGTACCCTTGTTTCTGAATTGATTAGCAAATTGAAACATGAGGGTGCTGTGGTGTAAGTTACAGTCTAGAGAAAATGCAGATCTAAAGATTTTACTGCCCATATGGAGTATTTTTGGAAGAAGCCTCATTCTTTTCTGTAATGGACAGTGTCCAAAACCAAAAGGGCTTTTTCTGGGGGAGAGTTGCTGCTTAATTCCAGTTGTTGAATAGTACAGCTACGTTCCCTGATTACTTCTGTTGTGGTTTCCCTGTTTCTTGGGGCAACAGGCTACAGAAAGGTCAGCTACACTACCCTGTGCATCATTTTGTTCCACTACAGCTTACTCCAGCTCTAGTGTGAAGAGGTAGTACACGCTACTCCCTTGAAATAGAGCTGAACTAAATTGTGTTGCATCCCACCTTGTTGAGTTTGATGGAAATAGGTATCTGGTTCCTTCTAGCGTGAAAGATTTGCCCCATTCCTGTTTTCATGTTGGCAGAAATGTAAATCTAGTCAGTGCTGGCAGGGCTGGAGTTAAGTCCCCTTCCCACTAATCTTGGACTAAAACTGAAGTAATTTCAATCAGTTTCTCTGTGTGGCCTTAGGTCTTAATTTCTTCGATCAAGCAAAGCTATCTCATATCGAACACACTACAGCAAACATAGACATTATTTAGTAGCATTTCATGGTAATTTCAAGAGCAGGAGAGTGAGTTTCATTTAAATGATCTCAGGGTATCAGCTAACAGCTTTGCTCTGATATGAGGATCTGGTGGACCTTAGTGTTTAATGCTTTGGTTCTTTCTCTCTAACTGTAGCAGAAGGCTCCAGTTCCTGGACACTCTCATCCAGTAGGAATGAGGATCAATGTGGTGAACAACCATACACACAAACAGGTGTGTGCCCCTGCTTAGTGCTCTTTGTTACCTTTTGGGGGGAAGGAAGGTGTTCATGAACATTGGAACGTGCAAAGAAAGCTTTAAATAGAAAAGTGGAAGTTCTTTAAGAGCTTAGCTCCCTATTCTTGCATGGCTAAGATACTGCCATGGTAATTGCATTTTTCATTTAGTCTGGTTAATCTTGATTCCTTCTATGTTATGTGAATATGAAGTAGGTATTCCCAGTTTTTATCTCTCTGTGCTAATGTTGTTTTTTTCTAGAGAGTGTGACCTTTAGCTCTGATGTCTTTCTGTAAATTTCTCAGTGATAGCACTTCAGATCCAGTTGCTGGTTGTTTTGATTCAGCATCCTGCTAGCCTCCTCAGAGAATGAATGTGATTGTACATGGTCAAATGTTCTACAGTGAGGTGGGAGAGGGTATAACCTTTCTGTGCAATCTCCACTGTGGGTCCCTGCTGGAAACCTGACAGTGAATGATGTTAACTGGTATTCTGATGAACTTTCAAAATTGCCCTATCCCTTGCCAAGCAGATTCTGAGGAAGATAAGAGAATTTGTGTTGTCTCTCTTGGGATCAGTTGTAAAGGTCTTTGTCACAGCCCCCAGCCATTCGACCGCCTGACCACCTTGGGTGCTTTCAGGGAGGAATTACACAGTTTTATTACTTGTTTTATTTTGTGTGTGTGCATACATGAAGTATTACATGAAATACTGCGAATGCAACATCATGTCCTGGGTTGTTTTTCTTTTCCTCGTTTGTAATAACTTCAGCTGTTTGAGTATGTTATCTCTGACCTGCTGCCCTCACCTGACCAGATGCTGTCACTTAAGGAAGTGTCTTCATTACTCTGACCTCATCGCTATAAGCCTTGAATCCATTTCACCTGTTTCAAACTCAAGTCCATAGTCCTTATAGCCAGCATTTTTCAGGGGTTTTCTGCACAATTCTCCTCTGTTCTGCCATCCGTTTTGTTTTTTTTCCCTTCATAGCATTTCTGTGACTGGAACAACTTTCCTGATTGTAAACCAGAACCTTGCTGACTATGAAAGTCTGCTTATTTTGCAAGCTGTCATTGCTAATCTCTCCATTTTTCTTTATCTTTCTACTGAATTAATGGGAAGCTGTTTTGAGTTGTGACTTCTTATATTATGGGCAGTGACATATGTTTATAAACTTTTTCTTAATATTACTTAAAGTCCATGAAAAAATATTTGTGTAGGAGCTTATGTCAAGATTATAAGGCAGGGCTATGAGCGTTAAGTTGAACTGGGAAATTCATTATTCATTCAGTAAAGCTCCTAGTGCGGTGTTTTGTAGTGCCAGACGGATATGTGCGGTCCCATGGAAAAAGCAGACTACTCAAAAGGAATGTTTGGTTCAGGTGTATTTGGGAGGCATCTGCTTAATTTAAAAACAAACAAACAAAAAACCAATCAGATGCACAGGCTTCAGCTTTAAAGGTAGCAGGATGCTAAAAAGTGAGACACGGGCTTTATTCCATTAATGTGGCTTCACTAGTCCTGATGAGGTCTAGAGATTAGAAACCCGTATGTGTTTCAGTATAGCTTTACTACAGCATTTTTGGAAGAGAAATTGGATAGTTTTTACACTGATGTTTTGAAATGGACTTGAACACCTTCAGCTTTTGCGTCCCCAGGCTGCAAGGACAGGAGTAAAGTCCAATGTAGTCATGTTCATTACCTGAAGAAGGCTGAAGGCAGGAGAAAACTCCTTATTTTGGAAACTATGTCTAGATTAAATCTACCTGCTTGTAAACTATTACCTTGCTTCTTTTCAGGGTCTGTATGACATGGAAGATGATGATGAAACTGTCTCTCCCCTTACTAGCAAACAGATGAAAATCACCACCACAAACAGTTTCCTGCACAACGCGGTAAGGGATTATCTGAACAGTCCCCACCACGCCATGCTCACATTGGGTGGACACACAGGCTGCGGCTTTACAGGGCTTATGTTCTTTTAAAGTATGTAAACAATGCTTTTTCCTGAAATATTTGCTCTTTGCCCCACCCTTCTCTTTGTGCCAATGCTTCTAAGTGTTATTTTTTAGGACCGATTCCTTTTAGGCTAATTGTGGTTTTATAGGCCTTTTGCAGCCAGAATGTGCTTTCTTACTAGCTGGCAGGTTGCTGCTTGTTAGTTCTTGATTTTCTTCTTGCTGGAGAAGTGCTTTGAACCTATCTTGTTATTGTTTAAGTGAGCAAGCAAGGAAAGCTTTCTGCTCCTTCTAGAGACTGGACATCAAGGCAGGAAATCTATTTCCATGCAAAATCTTAGTTGGCAGCTTGCTGGGGAGTACTAATGCTCTGGAGAAGATGGAATTTCTTCCATGGAACACAGACAAATGTGAGGTCCTGCTCTTGAGACGGGATAACCCTCTGCAGCTTAAGCTGAGAACTGACTGGCTAGAACCAACTGTAGGAAAGAGCCTGGGGGTCCTGCTGAGTGATATACTAAGAGTGAGGTAGCAGTGCATCCTTCCAGCAATGAAGGCCAGCTGTAGATTGTATGTTAGTAAGGTCATAGCCAGCAAATCACAGAAGATAATTATTTCCATCTGTTTGGTGTTTTGGGAATGTACCTGGAGTTCTGTGCCTATTCTGGGGCTCTGTGGTACAAGACGGACGCTGGCACACTGAACCCCGTGTAATAGAGTGGTCAGAGGACTGCAGCACAGTCCTCCATGAGAGAGGGTGAGAGCAGTGTCTCTGAAGACTGAGAAGGCTGTAGTGAGATCTGTTCTTTCTCACTGCCTAATATGTCATAGAAAAGGCAAAAGCCAGGTCCATTTCAGGAGTGAACAGGGAGAAGACAAAGCAACAAACGTGTTGCAGCAGGAAAAAAAAGGGGGGGATGGGGACACAGAAAGTTGTGCAATTCTCAGAATATTGATCAGCATCTGGCACAGGGACCCAAAGAGGTTGTGAAATTGCCATTCCCAGATATTCAGCATTTAACTGAACAAACTGGACAAAGTAGGGTATACTGAGGTAACCTGATGTGTCTTTGAAGTTAGCCCTGCTTCAGACATGAGAATTGGACATAAGTTTACGCTGAATTATTCTGTGGTTCTGAAAAAAGCAAATTCATGTGGTTTTACCATCACACAGGCAGTCTAGTGCAATGATTATCCCGTTTTCTTTTTTCTCATGTGGCTATTCAGAATACACCTCCTGGACATTTGTGATCCTTGAAAAACAGCCTTATGAGTTGTCTGCTTTTTTTATGGTTTTGCAGGAGTGAATGTATTTTCTCCAGTGTTCATAGCAGCTATGAAGCACGATTTTTAGTCTGGCTTTTTAAATCTGGTAGTTTCAACTAGAAAGGTTACACTCCATGCCTGTGTGTGTTTCTGAAATATTGCCCTTTGTACTAAGGCAGCTCAATCTTATTGTTAATGAGCAATCTTTGTGAACGCTTTGTAAAGTACTTGAAAATCTTTGTGTAAAAGGAGCTTTTCAAATTCAAATCACACTGATAAAGCTCATTTTAAAAGAATATGAAAGTAAAAAGTGCTTGTTAAGTGAGGGAAGTGCTTTTGGGGAATAAACATATTTTTTTATGTTCATGCCCAGAAACTTGAGTTGATTTCTGTTTCAAAGTTGAAAGTCTCCAGCACTATAGTGGTTTTGACACTGGAAAGGACTCACAGTTCTTAGTACCTGCTAGTAATACTCTCCTGCTATTGGTGCTTTAAAGAGAGGGATGACTTTTGTAGCCTGCAGCTCTCAGAGATGCTTTCTTTCTTCCTTAGACTGGGTTGAGTGGCAATAAATTCTCTCTGTCCAAGACTGTTCCCCTGACTAAAGTGGTCCAGAATGATACATACACAGCTCCACCTGCACCTCCCTCTCCTATGCGAACAAAGGCCTTGGCAAACATGTCCCGGACCTTGGTGACAAAAGAAGAGCCTCCAAAAGAACCAGCACCCATTGAGGTGAGCTTAGGGAAGTGTGAGATGCTTTTTATAGAAGTCTCTGAAACATCTGAGTCTATGATTCTGTGATTTGAAACTTGCTGTACATCGGTCATGCGAGCAGCTTATTTCTGCCTGCCTTCCACTGGTATTTCTGGGACTCCATCAAGCTTATTCTGACAACTGCAAGCCATGCCCCAAGAATTTGAAACTTGTCTAAACATTCTTTTCTTCAGAGTTTATTGAGAAACTGAGAATTCTCAGATAGCACATCTTGCTTCTCTCAACTTTTCTCTCTAGCATGAGAGAGCTCATGGTCCTGGAGGAATCCATGTTACAGGGAGGTGCCAGTTGTTTGGACACTCCTTGGTGGCTTCCATGTCCCTAGGAGTAGTGTTTTAACACTACTAGGAGTGTTGTATTCTGTCCACTCCTGTTAGCAAGAAGAAACAGGATTCTTCCAAATACAGCTTCTTGGTGTACGCATGAGACCTCTCAGGTAATCTGTAGACAACCTGGCTGGAACTGCTTTGCAAAACTGCCAGATGTTGGGTACAGGTAACCCACCAGGTGTTCCCAGGCATGTCTAGTTCAGCATGCTGTATTTTGGTGATTGCTGGCTGATACAGAGTGAAACAGACATGGCCTTAGAAGTGTGGCCATGACCAGAGAGTATTGCATATGTGTGTGGATTAAGTTAAGTGTTATACTTGGGAATGAAAGAAAAAAGTTACTTCAGAGAGAAATTAGCATGGAAAAGGGGCTGCTTTATCACCACCAGATGAGCTAGGCTTTTGTGACCATTGCTACTTCCTATTACTAGCTGTACCTCTCCCCTTTGTGTGTGTGTACAGACTTTCCCAGACATCGCTCTAGTGACATTTTTGGTAATGCTTTCTCTGCTGACCTGCCTGCTGCCCTTTTTATGGGATGCATTTGTTTGTGTTGGCAGCTGGCGTTCAGTCCTTTGGAAGGTACCAAGATGACAGTTAACAATCTGCATCCTCGAGTCACAGAGGAAGACATTGTTGTGAGTGTTGTTTACTACCAAACTGTGGATGAGTGACGCTTCTTCCCTTATCCTACTTCTTTTGATAATTGGTTGATCTGTGGTGAATGCAGTGAAGAGGGATATGATGTGGGTTTGCTTTCCTTGCAAAAAACTTTGAAGGTTCTTGATTGGTTTGGGCTTTGTTCTTAAGCCTGTGCTTAAGATGGGGCAAAATTCCATTTCTAGGGTGTACTGAGATGCCTGATATCACTAGAGGAATTCCCCAAATGATGCTTGGTGTTCTTGCCCTCATCCAAATTATCTAGGCACTTCCATTCTCAGCAGGCTGAGAACAAGCCTGATCTTAATGTGTGATAAACAGTATAGGGTACTGGCCTTGAATTTTTCTGCTTGCGCAACCTGTGTTACTAATGCCAAGTACTCATACTATAGCAAACACAGTAAGACAAGCATCAAGATTCTGCCATGTGTTTACTAAGCATGATGGGTGGTGCAATTAGGAAACTAAGTTTCTTACTCAGTGTCTTTGGTCGAAGTGGTACCTTTGATGTGACCTGTGGTCATGGCTAACTCTCTGCCCTCAGGAGTTATTCTGTGTGTGTGGTGCCCTGAAGCGAGCCCGTCTAGTGCACCCTGGAGTGGCTGAGGTAGTATTTGTGAAGAAAGAAGATGCTATCACAGCATATAAGAAATACAACAACAGGTGCTTAGATGGTAAGTTCAAGGCCAGAGTTGCATTTAAGATAGATAAATGAACAACTTTTGCCACCTCAGCAGAGAGTTTAAAAGCATCCCAGATGCTATCAAGAGAGAGGAAATGCCAGTAAATCAGTTTGAGCTAGATAATGTGATACACTCATGCAACCAACTAAATGTATGCACAGTTTAAGTGAAACAAAAAGGTTTTCCTAGACAGAGAATGCCCAAAGCTAGAGGCAGGGTCCTGGAGTCCACCAGTCTAATTTCCAAATTAAATTTCTTTTGTTTCTAATTCAGTGCCAAGAGTTAGATAGTCCTTAAAAAGGCTTTACTTGCTTAGAGAATAACTGTTCATGAAGTACAAGTAAAACTAGTGGTTTTGGAAGTCTCAAGGTGTCACCAGAGACATACTGAATTTAACTTGTAAAACAATTAGTACTGGCTTCTCCATAAACTTTGAACAATGGGACTTTTAATCTGGGTTCTCCTCCAATGTTAATATAGACTGAAATTAGCTTCTAATTTTTAGCTGGAGAAAAGTGCTGCTTCTTTCTCTAGATGAGTGATACGTTACGATTATCAGATGAGGTCTAGACAGCTGAGAATGAGAAATCCTCTTGTGTTTCCCACATATTAGGTACAAATCCCCTTAATACAAGGGGTTCGTATGTAACTTCTTAATTAGTGTCATTGTTCACATTGTATTGAGTATTTCCGTGGCTCTTCTGTTGCTGTGATTTTGCAATAAAAGGTGTATTGGCTGTTCTTTCTCACATTTTCCCAGAATGTGGAACTCTTGCTTTCTCTGTTGGGTGATATTTCTGGTAGAGATATTGTGTGATATTGCCTTATCCCAATTCTGGTAAAATGACTTTTTTTATTGTGTTTTTGTTTAGGTCAACCAATGAAATGCAATCTTCATATGAATGGGAATGTCATCACCTCAGACCAGCCTATACTGCTGTAAGTGTCCTCTGGGTGAGGGGAAAGAACCAAACACATTTGCAGGCTCTGTTTTGAGGGGAACCTGAGGGGAGGAAAACTGTTGGCAAATTATTGTCCCATTAATCTTTTCCTTCTCCTCTCTGTGCCACTCTGTGTTGAGCTGAGTGAAATACAGCTTATCTCCATAGTATTCCCAGCCCTGAGGTTCAAAATGAGTCAGAGAGGAGGATGTTTTGTGAGGAAAGTATATTTAAACCCCCTGATATTGGTAAGGGGACAACACTGGTAACGGAAAATGCAGACATAATGTTAGATTTTATTTCATAATGAGATGTTAAATATTGCTTTATTTTTTATTTTTTTTTAATCCTCCAGCCGATTGAGTGATACCCCTTCAGTAAAGAAGGAAGGGGAACCACGCCGGTCCAGTGCAAGCGCCTCCTCAAATCCCCCAGCTGAAGTGGACCCTGACACGATCTTGAAGGCACTCTTCAAATCTTCAGGGGTCTCTGCCTCTGTGCAGCCCACAGAATTCAAAATCAAACTCTGAGAAGGGGGAGCAAGAAGTGGACTGGAAACCCATTTAAGTTGGGGAAAGGAAAGTGCAGGAGTGCAGATGTTACTTGCATTTGCCTGCCTTGAATTTTTTTGTTTTCTATGATCGCTACCTTACTGTACAATAGTGTTCCCTCTTGTGTGTGTACTTTCTGTTTTCATAGTTGGAGTTTTCTTCCATGATTTTTTTCCGAAAGAATAACCTCCCCCTTCTGCCAGTAATGTATTACCAAGCATATACCATGTAACTCCATCCTTTACTCCAAAGCCCCTGGTGGCCATTAAAAGTGCACATAGACTTTGAGGGAAGGAGTGGTGATCTCCTTCTCTTTTCTTCTGACTGACCTTTAACTAAAAGGTGCATCCCCTTGATTATCAACAGGCAAGAATGCCACATTGTGTCTGAAATTGCTGCAGTGGGTACAAAGTCAGGTGTGGCTCTGTACAGGAAGCACCGTCTTGCATCTTTGGCTTGCAGTTGGTGGCATATTGCTTCATTCTGGCTGTTGGACATTTTTCTGCTCAGCAGCTGTAACTGAGAAGTGTAAAAGAACGAACCTCCTGCTGTGTATAACAGCCAACAGAGGCATCAAGCAGAAAGGACATATGCACAAGTGCTCTACCTGTTGCCCTACTGGAGGGGGGCTTTAACTCTGTAGAGAGGTGGGGGAGCGGGGAAAGGCTCTGGCATTTGTACAATGAACATACTAGTCCTGTAGGGTCAGGGTCAGTTGCTCTCTTCTGGACTGAAAAATAAGAATTAGTCTTGTGTTCAGAGCTAGAGGAAGTCGAAGTGTTTCATTCCCATTCGACTGTATTGCATCCTCCTGCTGAGGCAGGGAGGTGATTTTTGTTTTCCTTACTTTCTAACTTACCCAGTCTCCTATAAAGAAGAAGGAGCCAGGGCCTTTTTCAGATGCTAAAACATAGAGTCTTTTCTTGCACCTGAGAACTCACTCTGGGAGACATCATTTGGGCAATGTTTGGCTGCTATGTGGGCTCACGTGCCTGGATTTGGAGGATGCTTGCAGCACGTCATGGCTTCAGAGGGCGTTTTTGGAGAGAAAAGCAGTTAGCACTCTAAGGAACACAAAGGAGAGGAGCCTTAAGCAAGTCCCATGCAGAGCAGCAAGAGTGTACCTTGGGCCAGTGAGCATCTGTGAGGACCCACAGGCCACTAGGTGGCACTTCCAACACTTCCCGTTGTTATTACAGCGTAATTGCCGTGGATATTTGAAGTCCCAGTAGCTCCATTCGTTTGTTATTTGTTCAAAGTGTATTGTAAGAGAGGAAAGCTGAGAGCCACTTCCAGAATCCAGTTGGGGTTTGAACTTGATCCTTCTAGCTAGGAGATTAATCTAATCCATTCTGTTCAGCTCTGCTGAACTTCAGTGAACTCTGTAACCATTGTAGGTCCAGATTTCATTTCTTGGAATCAGTCCTATGTTTCTTTTGCTTTCTTGTCCTGTATTAACTCTTTGCTCTTACCTAGCTCATGCAAACCATTCCTCTATCTCACTGTTTCACTTTAAGCCATTGAAATAACTGAGGACTTGGCAGGACTTGGTTTGTTTTCAAAGAGTACTCTCTTTGGTTTGGAAGCCGCCAACATCATTATTGGTGGAGTGCTTCATGTGAAGAACAGATGTATGTAGGGGAGGGGACCTAAGACAGCTATTGTTCTCCTTTTTTAGACTGCCCATCAAACATTTGTGTTTTAATTAAAATTAAAATAAAATGGGGGAGGGGGAGGAAACCTTAGGGGTTGGAGAAAATAATGTATTACCTGTTTCTGAATAAACGTTTGTTATACAGAGAGTGGATTCTAAGCCTTTTTAGATGCTTTGAAGCAACTGAAAATAGGTGGAGTTAATGTTATGAAGAGCAAGAGGAGTATATGGATGAGAGAATTGATCCTTATATGCCTTTTAATCTGGATGATTGAAATCAGTACCTGAGTCTTGCTACTAAGTGGGAACAATTTGTGTACCCACCTAGTTCCGATTCTGTTATCACAGGAAAGAAAATGGCCTTTGTTATTGACAGCCTAGTAACTAAGAAAATTATTTTATTAAAAAATAATACAGCTGTGAAATCAGGGTACCTCTTCTAGATGAAATAGGGTACTTATTGACTAGATAGAAAGTTGTGGAGATGTGGAGGCATGTATTGTGACTGCGGACCTCACCTCAAGCAAGGAATTAACTGACTTCCTCAGTGCAAAGGGACTTGATTAGAAGCAAAAGGTTGGGTTGAATGGGGCTTTAAGCAACTTGGTGTAGTGGAAGGTGTCCCTGCCCATGGCAAGGGGTTGGAACTGGATGAGCTTTAAGGTCCCTTCCACCCCAAACCATTCTATGATTATCTTATCTCTTCTGAAAGAGGAGAGATTCAAGCATTTTTTTTTTATTAATAGATTCATATCTATTCCAAAAGCCAAATAGCAAGATGTTCTCTGTAACTTGCTGTTACAATTGTGCATTGTGTTAGGTTATCTGCGAGAAATGATGATATTAACATATTCGCTTAGAAGAACTGCTCTGTTCTCTAGCTCTGTGACTTATGGAAGTGTTTTTATTTTTTAATTGGTGAAGGAAGTGATTGTCTAAACACCGCTTTATCATTTGTCTTGCAGCAATGCTTTGGTGTGCATTGCTGTTATGTTCTGAGTCAGCTCTCTGAAGTTATTTTAGTTCCTAACACTCCATAGTGGCTTCTTTTGCCAGATACTGAAAGAAGAGTTAAGTAGCCAGCTATTCCTACTTCAAGTAGCTGACCTTGCAGATATCCAGTTTCTCCTGCTGTCTCCATTGCGCTGAGCTCGCCTACCATCTTTTGACCTCACCTCTGGGCATATTTGCCCTCAAGCAGCATGGTTATTATAGAATCAAACCCAACAGTATGGGTTGGAAGGAACCTCAAAGCTCAACCTGTTCCAACCCCCTGCCACGGGCAGGGACACCTTCCACTAGAGCAGGCTGCTCCAAGCCCTGCCCAGCCTGGCCTTGAACACTGCCAGGGCCTCACCACCCTTACGGTAAATAATTCTTTTCTTAATGTGTAATCTAAATGTTCCCTTTGTATATTTTTGTTCCTTTCTGGCCTGTTAGAGGTTATAAACTCACATATGAACCACTGATTGCAGGCACTAACTCGGTATGCTTGGCCAGGAGGGCTGGTAGGTAATTTACAATAGGATTTCTTTCTTTTTTCCCTTTGCTTTTTCAAACACATGACGACTTGTGAAGCGATGCCACGATTTGCAAGTTTGGCATATTTTCACAGGTTTTGCATGTACTGCTTCTGCTGATAATATTTATTAACTTAGGTATTTGGTTGAGCCAACTGTCCATATAATTCCTTACTTCCTTTTTTCACCTTGTACATACGTCTTCCTTCAGTATCTCTATTTTTGGACTGATCTTGTCTTCCATTCAGTCATAAATACAAGTTTCTCTGTAAAGGTCGGGTTTTTTCCCCGTTTTCCTGATTAACAGGTCTTTAAAAATAGTTGTTTTTACAGTTATCTTTGAATGTTTCAATGTATCTTTAAGTTTCTTTCATTTGCCTCTCTAGGATTAAGCACGGTGCCTGTTTTGTGCTGTTCAGGTCCGCATTTTCAGAACCGTTACACTAAATGCCGGTGTGTGACAAGCTTTTCTTACAGAAGGTGATGCTCTGAACGCCGAAAGTTGCTGGTTGAGCTCGGCCACGGGGCCGCGGCCGGGCCCCTCGGCGCCGAGG